AGGCGTTTGTGAAGCGGTATGACCCAGGGACAACCTGGCGCCCAACTAACACCTGTCAACTCCCCCGCGTAGCTACACGGCAAACACCAGAGGAGAGCAAGAGAGCACATGCTTGAGTGAACATGTCAGTGCTGACAGTGAGTGAGCATGTGCTTCTGACTTGAGCATGGTAGATGCTGTGAGCAACCCTGATGGAGCATCAACACAACCAGCAACGCGACAACTCACCACAATGTACCAACCCGCCAAACCGCCGTGACCCGACACCGCACACAGCCCACCCGACGAACAGTTCCAGGGATAGCACGCCTTCAGCAGTGCACTTTGTCGATGTGTGCTTGCAGCCGCAATGCGAAGGTGCACCCCATGCTAGCGCAGCCAGGATTATAGCATGCGAAGCAGCCAAAGCAACAGAGAGCCATGCGCACAGCCAGGAGCGACGGCACAGTTCCAACAACGACCATGAACCTGACAGTTCAAGCAGGGGATATCAGGTGGACCGAAACCAATTGCAAGCGTTAGGCCGACAGCCCAGTAAGGACAGCCTGCCTGCGCGCCAGCACCGCAAACCCAGACCATCTTTGCCGACTCTGCCAGCATGCGTGCCAAGACATGACGTGGAACCTTGTGATTCACATGTAGGGCCAGGGGCAATTTCTTTTGTGTCGCGCTGAGCCAGAGCTGCAGTCCATCATCATGGTTACAGCAATGGCAGCAGGGCGACTGAGTGCCTTCTGGATGGCAGTGATGACCCTGGCAGTGAACATGGAGGCCGTGAACCACGCTGAGACGACCGAGGGTGACTCTCATGCATGCGCCTCCGTGGAGAAGGGCATCCGCGCCGGCAAGAGCCACTGGTGACGTAACAGCGACGAGGAGAATCCTTGGAGACCCTCGCGCAGATCGACCAAGACCTCGAGACGCCGGCGAAGCAGCAAGGCCCGCTGGGAGACAGAGAGCAACACCAGAAGGGCGAAGCGGGAGCCCGGCAAGACTGGGAGAAGAAGAGCAAGGGCGCGGCACCGATGGCATCCACGGCAGCTCCAAGACCTACCAGCCGGGACCCTGATCGACCTGCGGCGGCACAAGCAACGCCGACCCAGCCTGATCCGCTTAACATAGGGGGTTGGCCTGGAGAAGCGTCCCAAGGCCAGTACCGCTTGCTGTGGCTCGAGCTGTTTGAGCTCATAACGGCGGGCCAGGGTGATGACATCCAGAACTCCGAGATGGCGAGCATCCCGGTGCATGAGCAAGCTTGGCGGCTGGCGCCGTGGCTGGAAGGCCGCATAGAAGCCTTGTCCGCCAGACTGACGCCACAGCAAATAGCAGTGGCGATGGCCGGCCTCCACGACTCCATGGCGTACGTGACAGCCATAGCAACAAGCATGCTGCTGCAGTCGATGGAAGAGGCGGATCGCAGCGAGGAGTGCTCGGAACAACCGGAGCCAGCGGCTGAGTACGAAGAGGTCGAGGTCGAAGAGCTGGCAGCAGAGGAGGTGGAGGATGCAACAGCCCTAATGCAAACAGGAAGAAGAACGGGTCAAGGCAGACCCACGCCTAAGGAGGAATCCTGGCGCCCTCACGAGACCTGAAAAGAAGCGCGTTGCAGAAATGGTCAGGGACTTGCTCAGGTTCCAGGAGGAGGCTGAACCTTCGCTCACAGTCTTGGCCTTCGTGGATGACCCGCCGGCAATGTGTGAAGGTGGCACGAGCCCGGACGAGGACCGAGACCTCCAGGTCTCGTTTGGAGAACTGAGACCTGCCTTGACCCGCTGGCTGTGGGCAACGCCCAGACAACACGTACCTGCTGCCATCCAAGTGCTCTTGGAGGTGCCGGGAAGAACGCACCAAGACCAAGCGGCGGTGCAGGCTGCAGCCAGGCAGCTGCAGTGGGACGTGGAGCCGCAGAGCAACCTCACATTGGATCAGCTGCTGCGGAGCTGGTCGGACTCGTCAGATGCAGGTTTGTCGAGCAGGCCCTGAAGATCGCCGTGGAGGGCCAAGGCAAGGCGGCGATCGGCAGAGCCCTGGCCAAAATACACCAGGCGAGAGGAACCTCTAACCAAGGTAGTGAGGAGGCAGGGCGATAGATGACGCTGCTGGACACCTGGGAGTCCATGCCGCCACCTGGCCCCAGTGATGGCACTGACTGGGTGCAGCAACAGGAGGACTCCAGCACCTTGGGAGCCCGCGCACAGCTGCTTGGACCACACAGAAGAAGAACAATCCTGGACGCCATCCTTGGCAACCTCTGCAAAGACCGGGTGCGTCAACAGGCGGCTAGGATTGCTGAGATCTACAACCACATGGCCGAGCAGGACACGCCGCAGACCATGGTCACACTCCGAGTGGCTTTCAAACAGCGACAACCGGACCGCGGAGGCCAGGCGGTAGACCGGGAAAACGAGGGGCAACCCAGCTCGTCATCGGACGAGACGGACAAGGAGTCGAAAGGAGCGAGCGCAGGAGGAGGCAGGGCGGTCAGAAGAGAGGCCGAAGCCAAGTCAGGCCCCGGAAGCGGTGGACCAAGAGGCGAGCACACAGCCTTACCGCCACCCTCAGAAAAAAGCAGGACGGTCACCGGGTAGCCATGGACACCAAGCACGCCACTTGACAGAGGAGAGGGAGCGCTGGCAGCAAAGCACACAAGAGGTTCGACAGCATATCGAGGATCAGCAGCTCCTTGGCCGGGACGCTGTGTGGGTCCAGACAGCGGAAGGGAGATGGAGACTGGCCACAATGGAGGAGCATGTGGACCTGGCCAGGCGAGAAGTGCAACAACAGGAGGAACAGGCCGGAGAGGCAATGGAAGAGCAGACCCAGACACAGGAGGGAGCAGATGAGGCCTATCAAGAATACCAACAATAGCTGTGGCTGCAGCTTCAGAGGGACGCAACGAGAGCGAGACCGACTTCATCCACGGCGGCCTCCACCCTGGCAGATGAGGAGTACGAGGGCGAGGAGCTGGCGAATGCTGGGGCGAGCCACAAGTGAGATCGTACCACGGCACCCACTGAGTGACAAGAGTGAGGCAGCTGAGTGCAAGGGGAGCCAAGGCAGGTTCTTGGCCCGCAGGGACTTGCTGATCGCAGCTTAGTGTAGCCGTGCTTGTCAAACGCCTGGGCTCTCGCAAGCAGTCTACAGCCGCTGGGCAGGTACCTCTGAAACTTCCTGCTTGGATGTGCAGGGAAGCATGCTTGGATCTTGCAGACTTTTAGCAGCAATTTGGAACCCTGAGCAGGTTCACAGACAAGCAATTTAGCACACCCACTGGCAGTGGCCCAAACCCCCCCCTTCTCACTGCGAGAAATGGGGGGTTGGCAGACCCCCATTTTCGCGCCCAAAATGGGGTACGGGCAGGTCACCAGCATGGTAGGGCTCCTGGTTTGTTCCCCTAACTGTTCCCCCTAAGGTTCGAGGATAAAGCTGTGACCGCCAGAACTGTAAGCGCTTTTGGGCCAGGAGCGCACTTACGGCCCATTCCGCATAGGCTATGACGGCTGCGACACCCCAGCTAGGCCCTGTGCCCCGCGAGTAGCTTTTCTTCGTAATTTGTAGTAAGCAGCTCGGTCATAGCCGATCCTGGGTAAACACGCAGGCGAAGCCATGAACCTAGAGACGGCCACTGGGCACAAGAAACAACCAAGAGCCTCGAAAGAAGAAATTTCGTACTCCCCTACGGGGCAGGGGGTAAGTTGTTGCTTCGCACTGTCCTCGAAGTGGCTAAGCCAAGTATGCATGCGTTTCACCCGTTACGAGATCAATTGGGACGTAGGCCCGAGTCGATGCACTGTAGGTCGCTGTACTGCGGTTTACCTGCTTGATCTTCACAAGAGGAGTCCCAAGGTCGAGTGAGTAGGTTGTTGCGTGATACCACCACAAGTGCCAGCCAAGTTGTTTTGTTATGGGGGTTGTATATCTTTCCATGTTGCAGTTTTTGGTTGTTTGCTCTTGGGCGATGCTCGGGGTGGCATCGTGCTGGACAACACTGGTGTGCGAAGCGGCCGAGCAATGCAGGTGAACGAAGGGTTAGAGGGTGAGTATGCGGGGGTTGGACCGTCACGCACCTGCAGTAGTAGCCGGCTGTGAAGTTCCCTGACTCTTGCAATACTCTCGGCCTAATGCAAGTGCAGGCCTCAGGCAGGCGGCGTGATCGGTTGAGCGGTTGTGAGCCTAGGTAGTTCAGGGGTTTGGCTGTGCCTGCGCCTGCGAGGGCTCGTTGTAGGCTGAGATGTGACTGTACTGTACTGCCTACCCTGGATCTGGCCTACCAACCTGAGTAGCTCCCCACATTTCTGTCCAGTGCGGGTTGTTGAATACCAGTAGGCCAGATTGGGATCTCATCGCTGCCAGCAGTGCGGTCGTGGGGTTGGCGAGGGAGGCAGAAAAGTGTTGTTCTGACCACCTGTGTTGGAACTGGCTCACAGCTGGGGTGCTAGCGGAGAGGCTCATCTGCAGGACGCAAGGGAACACCTCCATTTTAGACTATCTGTATCTGTGATCTGGGGCTGTTGTCTATCTCTTGACGTCTTGCGCGTCGCTGCAAACGGGCGGTACCCGAGTCTCGCTTCAGTGCTCGTTCGCGCCGGGACAGCCTGCTTGGGGCATTGCCCCAGCCTCTCCCCCCGGGGAGGGGTATAGCAGTGAGAAGAAGAAGAAGAAGGGAGGCAAGGTGATGTCCTTTTAGTTGCGATTCCGGGCCTCCCTGGCTGACTGGACTGATGGACACCACGTGGCCTGGGAGCGTAGCCCCCGCGAGTGCTCCATAGGGTGCGCGCATGGCCAGTAGAAGAAGAAGAAGAAGTACCAGGTGCGAAAGCTGACAAAGCACCTCCACGTAAACATCCTGATGCCGCAGGGTATGAGCTGCGTGTACGAGACAACTCTGCGGCCCGGGGTGTACAGTTTATTAGAATGGCTCAAACAAGATGCAGGATGGGAGCAGGCTGAGAGTCACGCAGCGCAAGTGCTGTTCCTTTCCACTTTGACACCGGAACAAGGCGAAGACCCGGAGACAGGAGCTGCCGAGGGAGAGGCTACACAGGCGGAGTGTGGCAATGCGCCCGCAGTGGCAGCTCCGACTGCAGGCATGTTTTGGTGACTCCTGGCCAACTAGATTGAGCGATTTTGTCATGTCCACAGAACACTGACTTCCCGCGTCGCAGTTGACAGGCGAAGTTCTTCCAGCTGCTGTATTGAAGCGAGCCCTGGATCAACAGTTTTAAGATGCTATGCTTCCCGTGTTGGAGGCAATGTGGTCCTGAAACAAAGTGTTGCTGAACACAGGGCGCTTGTAAGAATGTGATTCAATGCAGCAAGTAGCTAGCAGATGCTGCGGGGTCAGCAGTTTGACAGCCACTCCCAGGTCCAACTGCCCTGCAAAGCCTCCGAGATGCACCTAACCTGCATGGGCTTGCTTGAGTTCTTGCTGTGGCATGGCGAGTTAGACTGCCAAGCTGCAGTGCCTTGAAGATGTTGTAATGAAGATGATGCAAGTACAGAGAGACGTGCACTGTTCAGATTATTGGGAACTGGGAAGCGCCAACGACTTGGCTTCTGAAGCAAGCTTGCTGCAAGGAACTGTGGATGCACGTGCACAGTATGCCAAATCGAGAGGACGGAACAAATGGAGGGACAGGTAGTGTGATGTTGTTTGTTGTGAGTTCCTTCAGGACGTCACGGGTATGGATGACGATGAAATTGAAGTGCACCTAGACCAAATCATCGACCAGGTCGGGAAAAGCCTTGTCTCGCCAGATTCTCGTGGACCATGGAGCTAGAGAAGTCTTTGAGATGCGTTCCAACCAGTGCGAACAGCATGTATAAGGCAGGAAGCGGTCCAGTCTGCTCCTTGCAGGTAGATGACCTGCGCAAGCAGCTCTTTAAGACAACGTGCCTATCAATTGGCCGTTTGCTCAGACCTGACAATTACAGGACGGCATTGGCCTAGTCGGTCAACCAGCGGTCCTTATATGAGGTCATGCATTATGATCAAATGTCTGGTGAAACATCCTTTGTTCTGTATTGCATGCACCGATGGACCGTCGTTGCATCATAGCCTAGTCATACCTTCTGGTCATTTTGCTTTGCTGCCTCCCGCAACTGTTCTCAGGCCGTCACAGAAGACGCTCCAGCTTGCGCGAGCCGCATGCAGAGCACGTTGACGATCGTGAGTTGAAGTTGAGCAGTCATGAGTGTCAAGGCATCGCATACACGCTCCTTGCACGCAACCACAGGTCAGAGTCACGGCTGAGCGGGATTGGCGTGGTGGACTGGCGTTGCACAACCCATCCTGTGCTTACAGAGAATGACATGTCGCATAAACATTTACCAGCTTGCCTGTTCGTAATCAAGCTACTCCAGACTCCAGACCAGTCTGCTCAACTAAGCATGCAAAGTTTCTGGTATGGTAGGACATGCCCAGCGATGGCCGCGAGAGTGTTGACAGCATTTTGTCGCGGCTCTCAGGCTGTGAACCGATGCGATCATTGCCAAGCAGCCAGTTTTTGCTGTCACTGGTCAGGCATTTCAAGGTCCCGGGCTGCGTCACGGGCGACGACCTCTAGCGATAGCGAGGATGAGAGTAGCTTGGTGGCAAAAAGCTTTTCCTGACCGCATTGAGCTGGACATGAGCCACCGCGTTTGTACCACAACCCAGGTTCGCCGAACAAGTCTCCCAGTGCCAAGCCGCAGCTGTCATCTGGGTGGAGGCCAGCTTCAGCTTCGGCCCAAAATTTCACCTCAGAGTCGAAAACTTCTGAGCTGAGGAGTGTTCAGAAGCTTTGGAGCGGGGGCTCCTTGGCTGCGGCACGTGCTGAGGAGGCAGATTACGCAAACTCCCGAGTTGCAGAAGAAATCATGCTGTCGCGTTTGTCGCGTCCATACTTTCCAGGAGCCTCGGCACCCTGGAAGTACCGCGCCTGCTGGGACGCTGGGCTCAACATTTATGTGGTCAACGATTTGAGTCACAAGCTGTTGGGATCTTCATTTAGTAGAGCCGGCCACGAGGTTTGACAGCATCATGTCGACGGAGACTACAAGTGTCAGCGATCCGCCGCTTGCTTAATTCCACCTGCTGAGGCAGCACGTTACGTCCAAGCTGACCAGGGCATGGTCTGAAGATCCAACAATATGCAGCATTTGCATGACAGCTGTCAAATCAGTGGGGTTCTAGAAATTTCGCTGGAAAGTGCGTAGAGTCATCTGCAGAAATCTGGGTGATGGCCATGAGGTTTGCAAACAGCACCAGCCGGGATGAATCTCCCCGAAGAGTGGGCAAAGAGGACGCAGCGCATAGCATCAGAGAGTAACAACCTATCACCCCTGGCTCTCACAGGAGCTGAAGCTTGTGGACCGGTGACTTGGCTCGATGATGCATGCTTGGAATCTTCTTGTAACAAGATGTCTGAGAATCCCTAATCATTTCCCACCTTGTTGCTTGTATGGCCTTGTGACTCGTCATGGCCACATCACTGCAGGCGAGCTCAGATGACGCGTCTTGAGCGCCAAGACACTTGCGATGACGATTCTGAGGCGATTGTGTGGATGGAACTGGGAACGGGTAGGGCATCCATCAACGGAAGCATGGCATAGCCGGGCATCCACAAGCATGTGCCAGGGCCAGAGCCTGCTTGGCCGCTCCTGGGGTAGCACGTGGTCACCCCCAGCAAAGCCACCCAAGCTGAAGGCTGGGCTTGCCGCATTCAGCAAAAGCAGTGGTGCACATTATAAAGAACAGAGTGCAGGTGCGAGGGCGCAGCCCAGGCCACAGCCCCTCACGTGAACGCCTACAACCACAGGCGTCATCTCATTGCCTGGCATAATTGCCCGCAGCATTGACGCCATGTCGTCTTTTGAAAGTCCTGACACTCAGGGTCTTTGCTTTTGGCAGGTCAGCCCCGTGCCGGTCTCCACTCCCAGCCTGCTTGAGGTCTCACAACGGCCGCGTAGCCAGCACTTGAGGAAACAACTTTGAAGCCCCTTGCTGTCAGGCCTAGTGCCACAGCAAATGTCGAAGCCAGCGCAAGCAGATTTTCATTAAGGTCGGTTCTATACGCTGGGAGCCCAGGTTGTCGGTGCGAAGCCAGTGCTTGGTGGGTGGAACGCACAGCTCAGAAGCAAATCGCCACACGCACTTGTAGCTGCTGCTTTGATAGCTAGAAGAACCGTTGAAACAGATCCGCAGCCTCATGAAAGTCAGGCTGCCATGACCGCCTTTCCTCACATGCAGAAGGCGCGCTGCCGTATGGAATACGGCTTTCAGGTTGGCCTTCTGTGCTGTTGCGCGCTCACGGCTGCCGCAATCTGAGCTGGTGAGGCCAGTGCTGTTGTTCGTTCCAAGAAGAGTGCCAAGCATTCGGCCACCTGTTCTGCAAGCTTTAGAATCCAGAGATTTACGGGCATTAGAATTAGAGAAGGTGAGTGCGTGCAGTTGTTTTATCGACGCCGTTGTACCGTAGCAAGCGCAGGAGCAGATTCTGCAACTAGAACTGCTGACTGGAAGCTGGCTTCAGGAGACCAGAACTCAGGGACAGCCCGTGGTACAGTAAACAGAATGCACTGGAGATGTTTGGAGAATGTAGCTGCAGTTGCTGAAATTGTGTCCCAACACAAATCCGCATCAAGCATAAGCACGGATGGGCACAGGCGGCAGCGCACCCCACCCCAGTACTAGCCAGGGTGAGGAAGTGTCCAGAGGCTCCCTTTTCAGCGGCAGGATGTCCTGCACTGCGATGACAGGCATGCTGGGCAACTTATTTTGCCTTGCCTGGGTTCGGATGACAGGCCGTGGTTGCTCCCAGCTGCTGCTGTCACACCATCCCGCGAGCAGTCATTCTAAATTTAACGGCTACGCTGGCTCTTGGCAATTGAGCACTTGCAACAACAAAAAAGGATGATGATGATGATGATGATAATGATGATGATGATGATGACGGTGATGGTGATGGTGATGGTGATGGTGACGCAGTCGCCGCCGTCAAAGTAGAAGAAGTGGTGGTGGTGGTGGTGGTGGTGGTGGTGGTGGTGGTGGTGGTGGTGGTGGTGGTGGTAGCAGCAGCGGCAGCAGTAGCAGTGCAGTGGCAGTCGTCGTTGTCGGCGTCGTAGTCTTCCTCATAAGCAGTGGTAGAGAAGAGGCGTATCAGTAGGAGCGGGAGCAGCTGCAGCAGCTGCAGTAGCAGTTGCAGTAGTAGTATACCAGTAGTACGTAGTAGCATTCGCCACTGCCAAGAAGTCAACGGCAGTCACAAGACACAGCAATAATCACTGACGTCACCCCCCCCTTGCCCCGCACTCCACTGGCACGAGCATGCCAGTGCAGAGCTTGTCTTTGCAAAGCGCAAGCAAGGCTGCGCAACTCCGTAGCTTCAATTTGTAGATCCTCTGGTGCTTTGTCTGAGAGCATTGTATCGGCTTAGGTGAAAGAGGTCTCCGATGGCGGCCTCCCAGCTGCAAAGCAATACTGAAGAGGTGTCTAAAGGGCCGCGTGATCCGTTGCCGTGGGCTGACCCAAGGTTCTGTTCTGCCAAGCGTGTTTCTTCCAAGACCATTGAGCTGGGGTCTAAGCTCTGCCATGGTGAGCACACGCAAAGGCCCATAGCGCCTAAGCATCAGGGCTTGCGACGTCAATGGCAGAGCACTGGCGTCACTTCCTGAGGTCCAAACGCTCGTCGGCAGGGTGGAGGCTGACCAGTTGGCGCTCATTCGCTTGCCCGCCCTCGTAGGAAGGGCCATCTAGCATCATTTTTACTCACATGCACTCATTCAAACTTGCGCTGGGTATGACCCAAGCGACCTTGCATGGGCTCAACCCTCGCATGGCAGAAAGAATGTTCAGCAACTTGCGCTCTTGGGCTCGCAGGGTCAGCGCCAAGACTCTCAAAGAGATGTCGCGGCAGATGTACAGAATACCCGAGAGTGCATGTCCGAGCATGTCGAAGACATGCTTGTGTGGAGCACCTTGCTAGTGCAGATCTCATGTCAGCTTATGATGTCTGGGCTAGACTTGTGAGGTCACTGAGCCAGGCTTCATTTTGAACCGCACATCTATTGACTATGCCGACTAACCACAAGTATTTGTTCCATTGTACACACCGACTGCAGATCTGCACGTGGCTTCTGTTGAAGCAAGTCCAGGTTCTTGAAATTGATGCTCCAGATGACGAGGTTTCATGGCTCAACCCAGCGAACGGACTGGCTACATCTTCTCAGAGTCTAAAGCCGCAGTCTCCACACAATCTAACCCAAACATGAAACTTCGGCTTGCAAGTGGGAGCTCGAAGCAAGCGTTAATCCTACTCATCCTGTACATACTCCTGGCGGATTGAGTTCTGGCAGAACTCTTGGGGTTTGATACCGCGGCCCTGGGCCTCAACTGTCGGGCTGGATTGTCTGTGAAGCAGGGAGGACACAGTTGCGGCTCCTGTTTGGGAGTGTGCCTTGCTCAAGGATCGCTTCGACTGCTTAAGCTGTCCAGCCTGCAGACAGAAAAGGGAAAGCTGCTTGCATGGCTCAGGAGGATAGAGAACTTTAAGTTTGCACCCGCAAGGTTTGTAACCTTGGGTTTGGCGTGAGGCTGCTGTGCAGCTGAGCTGAGGTGGGACGCTTCTCCTTGCAGCTGGAACCAGGGAGTGATTCAACTCAGTGGCTGCTGGCAGGCTCGTTTGCCTCTTGAAACCTCCTGTATTCCAGGCTCTTTCATGTAGAGGTCAGTCCTTGGACTTGTTTTTCTTCCCGCTGGCTGCTTGGGACTTCCGTGTGTGACGCCGAGATCACGTCCTGTTCGGATTCGGATATTTTGCATGCGCCCAGCTCGAGATGGTTTGCGTTGGAGTTGAGGTTTCCGTGCCTGGATCCATAACAGCCAGCTACTCAGCAAGATGGCTGGCGAGACGCAGGCAAAGAGTTGAAAGTTCCAGATGCCTCTACGATTCAGGGATGCGCTTCCCTGAGCCTGGCTGTGGCGAACAGCTGCGGCCCCAGGTTCTCACTCGCAGCACAGGAGGTTGTTTGTCGATTGGTGGGTAATGCAATGTCTTATTCTGAGAGCTTGAGTCTTGCAAGGCGAAGGCACCATGGAGGCTCCTTCCTGCTTCACAAACTCTGCTCTGGTCTTAGTTGGCGTCCCCGACGGCCAAGCTCCATGAAATCCGCCAAAGCATGCCAAAGCCATCGTAGGTTGGCTTGAGAAATCAGGTTGGCGGTGAGGCTCTCGACTTTCAGGAGAACACACTGACGCTTGTGTTAGGAGCCGGCACGGCACGAATCTTGGGCTCTTGAAGGATGCCCTGCATCAGAATGTTAGCGCGGGCACTAGGCTTTCAGACGTCATGGTGGCCTCAAGGTCATTAGTCCCTATGCTCCTGGACTTCTGGAAGTCACGCTTCCTCTTCCGCAGGGGCCCTTGATTGAATAGCAAACTTCCTTTTTGTGCAACCCAGCTCATTGACTGTCATTTGCTAATGGGTTACGGCATCTCAGCATGCTCTGACCAGATAGGTCTGGAGGTTTCTTCGGCACGCAGATCATGGCGGCCTGCAGGCCTTCAACGAGACTGCTAGCCTTTCATGATCTTGTTTTTCTGGCACAGACACAGCAGCAAAGCCAATGTCTTCAGGTGTGCCTTTATGCTCACAGCATTTTGCCAGGTATCAGGTCCCAGCTGGTCAGGCAGCATGGCACGCGTCCTCCCAGCCGTTGCATTGGGCAGAATACTGAGAGGTATCTGTTCTGAAACCATGGGTGAGGGGACACTGCAACTTGCCCAAGGCTCCCAAGGTGTCCAGCGCAAACTTTGTGAATTTCCCAGAGGCGGAACCCTCGCTGCAGCCAGACATGATTTCTAAGTCTTCAGGGATGCTTACATGCATCAGCACTGAACCGTTTTTGGAATTCCTTTTGGTTGGAGACGTAAGCACGTTTTGAAGCTTATACTGTAGTGCCTTTGTCTGCAACAATGGGCTGCCCCGATATTCTTGTTGTATGAAAGTCCTGAGGCGGGGCGTAGAGGAACTTTGGAATGTTGGAAGTAGCCTGTTGTTCGGTTCTGGAGCTGTTGCCTTCGCCTTGCGGTATTCAGGATGGTGACAAGCACTCTGCGCATCTCACGTTCTGGGGGGGCATGCCAAGACAAGCACAGTCCAGCATCCGGCTGTTGCGGCATGTTACCGGAAAATTAGCCAACCTTTCGTTTCATTTCTGCTGTGAGCCAGCATTACGTTGCGGTTGCCGAGGAACCAGGCCCAGACATCACAGCAGACATCGCATTTGTTCCAGGCGCGCACCTGGCGCAACTGTGTGGCAACGGGAGCACGGTAGGTGAGGATTGGATGCTGCTGAGGGATTCTTAGGATGATGCGTTCGGAATGTGGGACTCGCAACTCAAAAAATGTGCCACTGATTGCTCATGTTTTGTGCCCTGAGCGCTGAGGTCAGTAGTTGTAAAGCAGGCAATGCCACAAATCGCATTTTCTCATAGCCACCACCGCTGCTGCGATTCGTGTTGCTACTTTGCTACTCGTAGGAACGACCACTGACACAAGCTAAATTCTTGAGCCCTGCATCACGCACAAAGTTGCTTTCCATGCTCAGTGCCCATGCATCCTTGGCAATCGTTTCTGCAGGGATACTTTCTGCATTCTCCATGGGGACACTTTTCTTGTATGAGTTGCTGCCCACCGCCAGCTTGCAGTTACTGTTGCATACTGTTGCCAGTGTGGCCAAGATATAGCATCCAACCTTTGCAGGGCTCACGTTGATGGGCGCTAACGGTGCTGCCTTGCAGCTTTACCCTCCGCCAGCCTTCCGTGCCTAGTCTGCACCACATGCTGAGTGAACATGTGATGCAGGTCATCCGATGTAGTAGCCATAGCTGCTCCCATCGACCTTCTCGATAAAGAGTTGTACAAAACAGCTGCCTGAATGCTGCTTTGACATGCTGAAACTGCGCAGGCAAGCAAACAGCAGCCTTAGCGAGTTGTCTTTCAAGGTCTCCTCGCACTGAAGGCTCCACCCATGGGTGCCGAGCACCTACAGCCGCACCATGTATGAGCGGTTAGTTTGATGTCTGGCATAGAGGAGATTCATGCGGAAGGGACATGTAACAGTTCCCGAGCATCCTCTTCCATTTCATGCGGGGGGGGGGGGGGGGNNCACTGTGTGAGAGTGCACGACATACACGGATAGGCGCCTCCAGAAGCTACACACCCCTGCATCCTCTGCCGAATACAGAAAGAGTCCAGTGATGCTCATGTACCCGAGCTCAGGCCGCGGAGCCGTGGGCTCAAGTGGTTGCCGCCAACCTGCTGTGAGCTCAGCGTGTTGGAGCTGTACAGGCTTGAGCACATTTGTTGTGAAGAAGCTCAAACTACAGCAAGCAACGCGCAGCACTAACTTTGAAGTTGTCGCACTGATTCCAAGCTTTCAACAACTGAAGCTAATTTGCAGACCAGCATGTTCACAGCTTTTCTCAGAGACAATGTCGACTCCGAACTTTGAACCATGTAGATTCTCAGGACATCATCAAGCCCGGGAGAGGCAAGGGCTTTCTCAGCAGGGAACAAGAGTACTCGTACCACACCTACGTTGTCAGCTTGCGGAGATCAGGCAATGGATGTGCTGCTTCAAGCAACAACTTCCCTATATGCGGGCATGCTTCTCAGAAGTTTTAGTCAAACTCTGTATGTATAGTCTGAGCAGGTTGACAGAACCTTCAGTCGTCTTGCTGCTGCATGGTTTGGGCATCATGTGGCATGAGACAGCGGACACTGACTCCGATGTGCTCCTCAGCAGTAAGCCAATAAGCGGCCGAGACCGTCAAATCACTGGGGCGCCCAACTGCAACGCGGTAAGGCAGCAGAGACTCCACTGCTGAGAAGCATGAAGTTTTTCTAGCTGCGAAAGCTGTATTCGTTATCCTACAGGCCCGGAGCGCTTGCACGTTGCTGCTGGTAGTTCGTTTACAGATGTTTACAGTATGGGGCAGGAAGTAGCGCTGGAACGCGTTATACTTGATCATCCTAGATGTAGACCCTACGCCGGTAGTTAAGAGTTTCTCTCAGGTGCTGAGTACCTGATCCAGGTGGCACTTGCCTCGGCGCAATTCTGTTCCACGCAGCAGGACCATCTTGGCATGTCGCAAGAGATGTTACACCCTCGCAAGCGTAAGGTGTTGGTTGCAGTTGCACCAACCTCGGGGCAGCGCGAGCCCTGGCGATTCCTCATCCCCAGCGAGGCCGCGGAATGTTATAGAAATCTCCGAGCAATGCCAGGGCCCTTCATCATGGGACTGTTGCCACCAGTGCAGGCTGCTCCAAATGTCGCGTTTGAAGCTGCCGCCAATCGCTCCGATGGAGACTTAGTCTATCTGAGTCTATCTTAGTGGACAAAGGACTTTCAGTTTGAAGCACGATTTTGCGCAAAACCTCCGGCATGCTTTTACTCAAGGCAGGCGTGCTCTCTACCGGCTCTTTGGCTGCTACGCTTTCCTTCACATCAATCCATGCAACTGCCGCAGCCCTGAGGGTCTGAAGTGCTTCAGACTTTCGTGCCTGAGTCCAGAAGCATGCGATGGTCGGTCAGGCGCAGACCCTCATAACCGTCTACTTCTTCCCTGAGCAGGTGCAGGGTACCTTGGCTAATATTTGTGCGGACCAGAGGGTAAGTTTTACCTTGCCTATGAACAGCCAGAT